AATGATAAGTGCGATATATCCTCTAACTCTATAAGCTGGATTCCATTCCCTCCTCACCCAAAACTATAAACTGATAAAAAAAAATAAAGTGCAGACACACACACAACACAAGGGTAATCTCATCTATGTGGACATTTTCCAAACTAGATCCATTTTTCTTTGAAGATTTCTCTTTTCTTATAAGTGAGATCCCCCAATCATCTTCAAGCAGAGTTGTCATGTGAGAATTGTACTGCACAATAACACAAACCAATGCATGGCCAGTATAGGTCCATGGAGGACAGGAACAAGTCCTAATCTTGTTCCAAATTCAGTGCATTGTTATTCATAATACAATAACAAGCTTTTCATGTTTCTAGTGCTGCAAAAATGTACCCAAAACTAGTCAAATTTAGAATGGCTATGAGTATTACATTAATCTCCCCAATCCCAACCATCAAAGAAGTACAGCTAAAATTTCTTACTAACCCATATGATCCTGGAAAAAAAATTTGTCCCATTCAATGCCAATGCCTTGTCCACTGACTCCTTGTTGGCAAAGGTAATGTATGCAGACCTGATAAGCCAAAGTCATCGTTAATCATGTTGCAAAATACATAATAAAGGGTGGATTAAGTACAACACAGTAACTGAGGTGAGAGTCATACCATTTCTGTTTGACAGTTGATGTGTCAGTCAACTTAATAACTCTGATAATGGCTCCACATCTGGCAAAGTGAGATCTCAAAGCATCTTGAGTTGCTGCAACATGAACCTAAAGTGTGTTTTAACTACAAGGAGTTATTGCCGTAAATGATTCCCAAATTTGACAGTACCAAGTTACAATTAGTTCGGACATAGGACTTAAGAGACAAAAAGTCGGTACTGTTGCAGGTGAATCTACAGTGTCAATTGGACTCTGGTTAATAGAACAACCTTCGTGATTGACTACTTATATCTTCTGAAGTAACTGGCAGATATAAAAGAAATAAAAATTATAGGAATGCATTTTTTTTGACACAAGTTTACCAATAGATTTCTTCTAATACTCCCATTTCAAGGATAACAGATGATGATAAAGATATAGCACTAAAAATAAAGACATGATAAAATAACCCAATATATACAATCTCTCTTAGATCAAGTGGTGAGTTGTTTTACGTTATACTGCAGCTCAACGCTAATCACTCCTAGGAATTGACAGCACTGAAAAGTTTTTAACAAAAACAATAAAATAAAGAAAGTAATTGACATTCTAATATAGAATTTGACAGTATGAAGCCCTCTAAGGTGGTATGATCATAATGGAAGAATCAATAGCCCAACCTTTCCAATTTCTTCATTAATGATTAAAGAACAATACAAACCAAATGTATGATTAAAGTTGCAAAAACTATTATTTACAAACCAAATCATTCCAAAAATTGATAAATAACAGAAAGAACACAGAAGATATACTTCTATAATTGTTTCTTTTTTGCGGCAAAGCAGGGAAATTTTTAAATGATCAAATCTGTAAACAATAAGAAATCCTTGAGAACAATGCCCACATTCATGACAAAAGAAGCAACAATACACTATCGTGCTTTGCTATGCACAAATATCACACAAGTGAAGAAAAAAACAAAAAGGAATTTGCAAGCGGCAACCAAACAAAATAATATTCCAAGGTAAAAGAGATATGACTCAAAAATGATCCATCAAACTCACATTTGTCACAGATACAGTCCTTGACTCAACTCCTTCCTTGAGCAGATCAACTGAACCTGAAGTAGCCAAAGAAAACATTATTCCAATTTTAAAAAAATCTTCTGCATACAAAAATCACATAAAAAACACAAAAAAATTTTCATAGTTGATTAAATTCCTTCCTGTACATCTGCTAGACGGAATCATCTCCACAGTACACTAGAGCCGAATGTTCTTTGATTACAGCCTCTTAAATAAATATATTATTCAGCATTCAATGAAACAACAAATTTGAAGTTGCGCTGTCAAGCTCAAAACCAAGAACTAAACAAATGTTTTCAAATATTTATGAGTATCTTGACGTCAATTATTTCCATTTCCACACATCAGAAAACAACATAGCCCAGCCACAGTCCACAAACGACTTGATTTCAAATTAAAAGACAGGGCAGTAAAGAAATATAGACAGTTTGAAGAAATTATTTATGCAAAGATCATTAGACTCATTCATTAAGAAAGCACCTCATATAAAATGATCTTACCAAAGCTAGAGGATAAGGCATGCTTTCCATCCTTGTTTACTGGATTTGATTTTAGCTTGGAAATTTCTGTTTCAAGTTGGTGTAATCTTAACTTCATATCTACCAATTGCTGTGTAAGAAATCAAAAGCTTAAGCATGTTAAGTAAACAAACTCTATTTGAACTTCAAGAAAGCATCTGATGGTTTTGCAAGCACTTATTTCCTTACAGCTTGGACAGGCCCAGTTCCTCCAGTGGTGGCTGGACAAGCACTATGTGAAATCAGTGTCTGAGTAGACTCCAGAGCCTCCATGCTTAACGTCTCTTGAGATATTTTTTCTGGTCTGGAGCTTACTGATGCATCAAAAACAGATGTGCAGCACTTATTGTAACTTTTTGACTTTTCTGATTTACATGAAGCACCACTCTCTTTCAGCATATAAGTGTAATTTTCAGCCTGTCTTCTATATTTTCTAGATTTTTCTTCTTCATGATACAGAGAATTTGAAATGCTACCAGAAATAGGAATAAAATCATTTAATTGCCACTTTCGATCATGATTGCTTCGATAAGTTTTCACATTACAGTTTCCTGACACATTTTCATTGATTTTGCTGTCCTGAACAGTAGGTATCAATGTACTTTGACCAAGCCTTGGCGAATTCTGTTCTAACATTTGCTTCTTGATATTATCACCTTCATTTGCTTTAACCTTCTTAACCTTGACAGAAGTGTCATTTTCACTCCGCTTTCCCAATCTGTCCCAAACATTACCACGTGTGGTTCCCTTAATTCCCTTCTGAACAAATATGGCACCAGCTGCCTTGGAAAAGAGCCTCCTTCTACCAACATTTGTCTCCTGACAATGCTTGGAAGGAGGGCTTCCTGCATAAAATTCCCATTAACATTGCTTGATTCAGATGCCAGCTTTCAGGTTACTTTTATTCAGATGAACTCCAACATTTAATTGTGCACACATGTATAATTTTCTACACCAAATTCTGTAAAATATTCAGTTATCTGATAGAAGAGTATAAATTAGGGAGAGCCATTCCAGATTATTAATGCGTATCAGAGAAGTATTAGTATAAAAAATTAATGCAGAACAATAACCGGCAAAACACATACTTGACATCAAATAAATGCACTACATGCATGAGTGATTAAATCTCACCGCATTTAAATACACATGCACACACAGCCATACACACACACGCCAACACACACCAAAGAGACAGTAGTGAGGCCCAAGCAGACATCCTTTGACGTTACAATTAGCAGAAGTTTAAGGGTTAGTATTCCTGGAAAGCATGTTGCTCTTTGGTCCTTGAGAAGGTTAAGAAGACAAACCATTATACTTTCAGTCAGATACGTGTTTCAAAAGCATTTGAGTTTCAGTTATTAGACACTAATAATAGGTACCAAATAACTACAAATGATCGGGAAAGGCTTACTCTCATGAACCTTCTCGTATTGCATAAGTTGTTCATCAGCAACCAGGATTTCAGCAGAGGGCTTCGTTTTAAATGAATAGCCAGCTAAGGACCCGTCTCGATTATTCTCAAATTCTCCGAAGTTTTTGTTAAATTTATAAGAATGCGTTGAAGCATCCTTATTAGTTTCCTCAGCCAACGTGTTAGAAAAGACCGAAAACTGGCAATGACTCTTAGGGGCTTCTGACCCACATTTTTGTGACTGGTTCTTGCCAGAAGCATCAGCCTCAGTGGAACTTGCACCAGTGATGTTCTCCAAATCTGACAAGCTCATATTCGCATTTAAATCATTGGAAGTTTCTGATAGAATGTCCCATAGCCTATACAAAAGAAAACATTTGCAGTTGTAAAAAAAAAGGAAGAAGAAAACAACAAAGTAGTCCGTTGATGAAGAAACATCATAGGGTTGGTTACCACGATACAAACTCAGTGACACTATCACCAAGAAACGCCTCCAACGCAGATTTTACTTCAGACTGGCACTTGCCATTAGAAACAAGCACGACAACATACTCCTGAACAACAAAGGTACCAAAACAAACATAAGAAAGGATTGGTGTTTTTTCATTTACCCGAACCGAAAGAATCATGAAAGAAAACAAAAGAAACGAAAGGGAGTAAAATATAGTTACAGTGAGGACGCGCAAGCTATCAGGGTTGTAATTGAAGTCTCCAAGCAAATGAAGAAGCTTTTCTGAAACTGCAGCTTTAACATTCAAGTCCCACGCCATTACCAATGCTGTTCGCTTCTTTAATTGCTTAGGGTTTTCTTCGCTCATTGCTCTCTTCTTTCAGAGTTTCTGGAGAAACAGAGGGAAGAGGAAAAGATAGAGAGGGTAGGACTACATAGGACCGTGTCGACTGTCGAGTCGAGTGACGTTGGAGGGAGGGCGAGGGAAAGCTGGCCCCTGTTCGTTTCGTTACGAACCCTCTCTCTCCTCCACGTGATACCTTTACATTTTGGCGTTTTCCCAAAGTTAACCCCTTCCAAAAGAAAAAGGATCTTGCGTACCAGGAGTCTACATGTATATTAAGCATGTAAGGTAAAATGTGAAAAGAAACAAAAACAGCAAGCAAATTACCAGAAAGGGGGCAAAAATCTGAAAAAATAAAATTGAACATCCTGAGATTAATACTAGAATTTAAAGAATATTAAAAATAGCTGAAAAGGAAATATAGAGGGAGAAACATAAAAACTAAACATGAAAATCCAGAAACAGTTATTTTCCTCCACTGCTTCAACCTCCTTTATCCCAACGACCCATCATCAAGGTATGCACAAAAGCTCTCTCACTTTTTCCTCCTCTTTCAAACAAGTGCAACTACACTTTGTACTGAATCTTCTTAGTTCTTTCATCCACAAAATGATGCATAAGACTTTCTTCTTCTGAGTCAAAATTTGATAACAGTAGCAGCTATGGCATCTTTGAAATTGTCCGTTTCTCTGGACACTGTTGATTCAAAGAAACTCAATTTCTATGTAAACCCATTTCATGTGCCTGATCATTGCTCCATTTTTTCATTCACTAGTTGTATACATGTTAGAAGAGCTGCTTCTATTCTCACTTCTCTGACTAGGCTTAAGCATATCAAAGTCTCACGCTTTGAAACTGAATTCCCCAACATTCCTGAACCAAGCCCAGTCGACAAAGATATCCATTTTTCTTCTAAAATTGATTTAGTGAATGAAAACCCAAAATTTGTTGAGGGCAAAAAAGGTCAAAACTCCAAGAAAGGGATTAGAAAAAATGTGGGTTTCAAGTTTGGTTTCAGAAGGAATAGAAATGAAATAGAAAGAGAGGATCTTTTTGTTTATAATAATAGTGGCTTGGATGTTGATTACTCTGCTATTAAGCCTGACTTGAACTTGGAGCATTGTAATTCTATATTGAAAAGACTTGAGAGGTATAATGATAGTAATGCTTTGAGATTTTTTGAGTGGATGAGGAGCAATGGAAAATTAAAGGGAAATGTGACTGCTTATAGGTTGGTTCTTCGAGTGTTGGGTAGGAGAGAAGATTGGGATGCGGCGGAAATGATGGTAAGGCAAGCAAATGGTGATTCAGGTTGTAAACTTAATTTTCAGGTTTTCAATACGATTATATATGCGTGTGCTAAAAAGGGGCTTGTGGAATTGGGGGCAAAGTGGTTTAGGATGATGCTGGAACACGGGTTTCGGCCAAATGTTGCCACTTTTGGCATGCTTATGGGACTTTACCAGAAGGGTTGGAATGTTAGGGAGGCAGAGTTTACATTCTCACAGATGAGGAATTCTCGCATTGTTTGTCAATCTGCATACTCTGCAATGATCACGATATATACACGCTTGAGTTTGTATGACAAGGCGGAAGAGATTATTGGCTTTATGAGAAAAGATAAAGTGATATTGAATCTCGAAAATTGGTTGGTGATGCTTAATACCTATAGTCAACGGGGCAAGTTAGAGGAGGCTGAGCAGGTATTGGTCTCGATGCAAGAAGCAGGCTTCTCTCCAAATATTGTTGCATATAATACACTGATCACAGGGTATGGGAAATCATCTAATATGGATGCTGCTCAACTTGTATTCCTGAGCATCCAGCAAGTTGGATTAGAACCTGATGAAACAACTTACCGTTCAATGATTGAGGGCTGGGGACGAGCTGACAACTATAAGGAAGTTAAATGGTATTACGAGGAGCTCAAACAGCTGGGATTCAAGCCTAACTCATCCAACTTGTACACGCTAATAACTTTGCAAGCAAAACACGGGGATGAAGAGGGTGCCGCTAGAACACTTGATGATATGCTCAAGATGAGGTGTCAACATTCTTCAATCCTTGGTACTGTTTTGCAAGCATATGAGAGGGCTGGGAGGATTGATAAAGTACCTCTCATCTTAATTGGGCCTTTCTATGAACATGTCTTAAACGATCAGACGTCTTGTTCCATTCTGGTCATGGCTTATGTGAAAAATGGATTAGTGGATTATGCAATTAAAGTGTTGGGGAGCAAAAAATGGAAGGATCCAGTTTTTGAGGATAACCTGTATCATGTATTAATTTGCTCTTGCAAGGAGTTGGGCGATCTTGATAATGCTGTTAAGATATTTTCTCAAATGCCTAATGCTGAAATCAAGCCAAACTTGCATATAATGTGTACAATGATTGACATTTATAGTGTCATGGGTCACTTCACTGAAGCAGAAACACTCTATTTGAAGTTGAAATCCTCAGGAGTTGCCTTGGACATGATTGGCTTTAGCATAGTTGTAAGAATGTATGTTAACGCTGGATCTTTAAAAGATGCTTGCAGTGTTCTACAAATCATGGATAAGCAGAAAGAAATTGTCCCAGACATTTATCTGTTCCGTGACATGCTCAGAATCTATCAAAAATGCAACATGAAGGATAAATTAGCAGAACTTTACTATAAAATTCTGAAGAGAGTCACTTGGGATCAGGAAATGTATAACTGTGTCATTAACTGTTGTGCACGTGCCCTGCCAGTTGATGAGCTTTCCAAGATCTTTGATCGGATGATTCTGCATGGTTTTGCCCCTAATACTATCACCTTCAATGTCATGCTTGATGTTTATGGTAAAGCCAAACTTTTCAAGAAGGTCAAGAAAGTATTCTGGATGGCAAAAACTCGAGGGTTGGTGGATGTAATCTCTTACAATACTGTCATAGCTGCCTATGGTCAAAATAAGGACTTAAAGAATATGTCATCAACTGTTCGAGAAATGCAATTCAATGGTTTTTCTGTTTCCCTTGAAGCCTACAATTGTATGTTGGACACATATGGAAAAGACGGCCAAATGGAGAAATTTAGAAGTGTCTTGCAGAGGATGAAGGAATCGAATTGTGCTTTGGACCGCTATACATACAACATTATGATCAATATTTATGGAGAACAGAGATGGATTGATGAAGTTGCTGCTGTGCTGACCGAACTGAAAGAGTGTGGACTAGGACCTGATCTCTGCAGTTACAACACATTGATAAAGGCATATGGAATTGCTGGAATGGTTGAAGATGCTGTGGATTTGATTAAGGAAATGCGAGAAAATGGGATAGAGCCTGATAGCATAACTTACAACAATTTAATCACTGCATTACAAAAGAATGATAAGTTCTTAGAGGCTGTTAAGTGGTCATTGTGGATGAAGCAGATGGGAATATGAACTGCAGAAGGTGGACCTACATAATCTTTTTGCTCCTGTGTTTTCACATCCAAACTTGTCTTGGAATTCTACTTAGACATTTCCCAAGTATTTGCTTCTAAGGTGATCAGTTTTCTACCCTTTATTTATTTCCTCTGCGTATGCATGCATGAAGATTCTGTCAGTGACTTCTTTCATCTATGGACTTCTGATGATTCCTATATCTTTGAATATAAGAAATCAAGTTTGTCTTTGTTGCTCAAGCTACTTCTTTAAGTTTTGTGAAGTTAAATGCTTTTGACAGAAATTTCAGAACGGTAGATTTTATGAATAGTTGATACTTTATTCTCTACACAACTTCATTGTTTCTTATTTCTTTTCCCCAAAGTGTAACGGCTTTTATACCGGTTACGGCCATTACTTTCTTTGGATCTTCTTGTTCCTCTTTAAGAGCATGATTATATTTTGGTTTCTTCTCTGGCCTTGGGTGCACATCCCCGTCTAAAATTGACATTTGAGTTAATTTTCAGCCTCATTTGGGCATCCATGTTGAAGACTCACGTTCAATGATTTTCTTTTTTTGGTTAAAATTCTGGCTGAAATCTAGAGTGTATGACATTGATCTTGCTATCTCTGCTTTTTCTGCCTTCTCCATTTGCTCAGCTGAAATATTGTTGTGCTGCTCTTTCAGTTCTGTGGAAGCTTGAAGCGAAACCAGCTATTCTGGAAACTGGTAAGCAGATGCCATTGGACGCTTGGAGGATCCTTGCAGATGCCACTACCATTGAATGGAGTGTGAAGAAGTGCAAAGCTGTGTAATTGAAGCCAGTTTGTGGAAGTGAAAATGTCAAATAAACTCAAATGAGGGAGCAAGCAAAGTCAAGCCGACAAGAAGACGATACAGGTGAGTTTGTCCTTGATTCTACTGCACCAAGAATATTAGCCTCGGGCACGGTAGTTAGTGTTCATGGACAAGGCATTCTACTCCGTGAAACAAACTGGGGTATCATCATCCAATTATGGTTGGATTTGTTGTTTCAGAATATTGGTTTCTCGATCATTTTTGCAGCCTTACTTCTGGTTCATAAAATATTAGTACTATTAGATACAGGGAAGCATACCGCATCATACCTCTTTTTCTCTTTATTACATGTAATATTTGTTTGTATTAGCTGAATAAAAGTCTGATAATATCTGATTTCATGTATCAATCTCGTTTCCTAAGTTTCAATTGTTTTGCGTATTTGCTTGGTTCATTAAATATATATCCTCAAAATTTAAGTAAAATCTTGAAAGTTCTTTGTGGTTACACAAAGGAAAAGTTTTTAAAATATATAATATTTGAATTATCTTATTTTTCTAAATCCACTCACAATTTTTCATCACCAACCCAAATATACCCTTCCAATAACTAGAGGGCTAAGACTAAATATTGTCAAAACCAGGAAAACAATTGAACTTCTAGTTGGCACTAAAGGCTGAACATGAAACTCAGTGTCAAGTTGGGTCAGGAAGGTAAATGAAACTTGGATTAAAGAACTTGAAGAAACTTACATATCCGATGTTGAAGAGAGTGCAAATGAGCTAAAGGAATTTTCTTCTATTACATTATGCTGGCTTTAAGGTGCATAGGTTGATATTCAGCAGGTGCATGTGACTACCCGTCTCCCTGCTACATTATCTTTTCTTCCTTTGATACAACAAATAGACATGAAAGAATAGAAACAGCTACTTGTTTACATCACTCAAAAAAGACATCTGTCGTAATCTTGGATGATCAGCTCCCGCAGCATTTAAAAAATTGCTGCAAGTATTTGGCATCCACAATGTCTCTTGGCTCCCAGGAAGTTTCAACCCATGCTCTAGAATTCATTAACACTTCCATATAAGGAGTAACCATTTCCTCTGAGTAACAGTATGTCTAAGCCAGAGTTAAGGACAATTCTAATCATACACAGTCTAGATAGCTTACCCGAAAGCCGGGAGCAGTCAGATCTTCATATCCCAAATTTCAGTTGAGTCCCGCAGGGATTTACTCCTCTCCGAAACTTCTTGATGCTCTAGGACAAAAGAATGTAGCACAAGCTAGCACTGTTTCTGCACATAATATACAAATGTTGTTCCACTTCGAGAATCAGTTGAAAAAGTAAGGAGACTTGAGAACCTCTCGCAAGTCAAAGTTGCCTCTCTCTGGGAGGGGAGGAAAAACCAATGAAGGATATGATGTCTGGAAGCTTTCAAACAACTGGGGAGAATCAAAGTAAAATTAATATGGTCAAAGAAAATGAATGAAACGAAAATTTAAGAATACATTGAAAAGTTGGTAAATGTAATAGTCAATTTTTAAATTAAAACAAAATAAAAGCAACACCACAATTGACTGGTTAATATTAGAATGAAGAAGGTTTTTGACTTTCATATACGGGTAGGTGAACTAAAGAAACATTTACAAACCAATAAAATACAGTCTATCGGCTCCCTCTAAGAATAGAAAGACAGGGATCACAACACTTACATTTTCAAGAACTGGCATGCTATAAAGCTCAACAAATTTTTCTCTGAGTATCTGGTTCATCTTCTCCACATCGCATGCATGTGTCCAGAAGGAGTCATGGACCCCTGCAAAAGATTTATTTTATAAGGACATGAACATTTACATTTCAGAAAAACATTTTTTTTATGGTCTTCCCCAATATCTAGCAAAAGTGTAAATACTAATTATAGCAAGTTCACTCTTACATATATGTTAATAACACACTAGATAACCTACAAATTGTTTTCAAGCTCATTTTTGCAACAAAAGCTTTTCTGTTGAAGAGTTTGATTACAGACATTAAAACCTCACAAGAAAGTATCAAAGCCTATGTAAATAATGTGGTGGAAGTTGATCTTAAATCAAGGGGGTTTAGATGGTTATAATAGCTTTTACTGTGAGAAATTCTGATAAAATAAAGGAGAACACATTCTCGAACTATGACAAACTAGTGGTGACACAGCAGAATGTCACCTTCATCTTGAGAGAATGAGGCCAGGAAAACATCTAAAGAATCTACCAAAATCATGGTTTATCCTCCAAAGATTTTCACTTCTAAGCTTAGCAAGTAATCAACATGCTTCCAAAATTCTTAATAGACACATGAAAAAGCATGCAGCCAATTGTAATATGCAGTTGAAGCAATCTAAGCTGTATGTCAATGCTAAATGTGACAAAGCTTTAATAAGTTTTTAGGTATTTATGTTTCCTTTGTTCCACTTGTTTGAAAATAAAAAGAAAATTCTATTAAGAGAAAACGTAGACACCATAAAGTAATGAATATGCCCAACATATGCAAAAGATTATAAGATGTATAACAGTTTAATACATTTCTTTTGAATATGCATTCACTTAAAGTATTTCGACCTATTCTAATAATACGCAAAGGCTCTATAGAAGGTTAATTTTGCTTGTTCTCATGCAAAAATAATCTTATATTGGTCTAAGCTCTGCCTACTAAAGGTTAGCAAGACAGACCTGCAAAATGTAGACCAGCATCCCTGCATGCAACAGCAGTCATCATCATGTGAGAACCATCAAGTGAGTGCACAAAGTTCGGAGGGAATGCAGTTCTCTGTTTTCTAACTTCTACCTGGAATTGACAAAATATGAGTGTTTCTACTTGTTTTAAAACAAACCAAAGCAGAAATAAGAATTCAAAAGAAGGGCTAAAATAATGAACTTACCGAGTTGCCCTCCCGCTGCAAGGCTAATACCTGGAGAGATGTTCTTATCTGAAAAGCAGCAGTGAGTTTGTTACTCTAATGTCAATTAATTATCTAAACAGAAACACTTAGAAGTACAGCTCTGGAATACTATAAAGGGCATCCTTGTTCAACTGTAAAAATCTTTAATTTTTAATTTTTTTTAAGTTTACACAATTAATAATATTCTAAAATTATGTTATAAAACGTTCTTTCAACCTTGCACATAACAGTTTGATTGTTGACCTTGTGTTTCAATCCTTCTGTAAATGTCTGCTCCAATTCTGATAAACCTAGAAACTGTCTTGAATATAAAGGCTGCATTTCAATTGATTTCTCATTAAAATCTTATACTCTAACCATTTCTGCTTTCTGCCCCTAATGATCAATGCCACCAAAAATGATTAATGATCAGTAGTTATTTAGTAATTAAGAAAGTGTTGAGTAACCATAAATCCTAACCGCCATCCTGATATCCTACGGGAATTTAATAAAAGTGCTAATTAGGATATCATATTGCTCATTTGAAATCCAGTACACTGCAACTGTTAACACTTACAAGATGTCGTTCACTTTTATAGTAGGGTTGCACAACAGGGAGTCCAAGAGGTGTTGTCCACTGCACCGGTTGATTCTCCGAAGCGATAACCTACAAGGATTTCACAGTCCAGTAAATGATTGTACCAGAACTCAATGCTCCATAATTACCATAAGGCAGTTTCTGTGCATTGATTCTTGTATACCTTCGCACAGTCACCAAGCCAGCCCATTATGTTTCGTGCTGCTTGAAATAGTTCTCCTAGGGCTGCCAATGTCACCTGTCAAAAAATTTATAACTGTGGTATCAAATTCAGATGTTGAGTATAGTTGTTTAATTTCAACAGAATATTAATATTAGAAAAAATTGTTTTTATTTACCCTTTTCCTAGGACACCGGCAAACAAAAACACCGAGACACACACACATACACCACATGCATACATAAATAGAACATTTCTTTCATCCTCCAAATGCTGATGAAACAGTTCTAGGAACACTCACGTCACTCTAACAACAACAATTTTCAAAGAATATGATACCAATGTCAAGAGAAGAAAGAGTATTTGAGATCAATTGAAGAGAGAGAGAGAGAGAGAGAGATCTGAAGTGCACACAAGCCAGTAGCATGTGTTTATAGAGATCATCAGTGTGCACATGCATTCATTCACACATGCATAAATACATAATGTTAAATGGATTGCTTACTTTAGCAGTATAGCAAGCTGCAGCAAACAGCACTCTATCATCGGTTATATGACCCTTCTCCTCTAACCGTCGTTTTATTTGCTCACGTGCCCCAACAAAAGTGACACCATATACTGAGGTCATTACTGTTTGTTTTACTAATTTCCGATCCACCTAACAGTTTCCAACATTTTAAGCTGTTAGTGTAAGAAAAGAAAATCCTAATTCAAAATCAATTATAAAAAATTTCAAGGCTAACTCTTCAAGGAAATCTAGAAAGTTTGGTTTCAAAAGAACCAAGTCCAACCTGACCAATTAAAAGCTTTGCCAATAAAGCATTGGGATTTGTTGCAGGATCCTTGTCACTGTCCCTCTTCATTATAGTGTGAACCCTGCCAGCCCCCAAAAATATTAATTAAATAGTGATAAGGAATAAAGAAAATTTTTAATCCTCATTTTATAGTATTATATTTAAGAAATAGAAGAAAATTGCCAGAAATTAAAGTAGCAAAAGAGATAAGAGACTAACATAACACCCAAAGATTAGGCAACAAGAAAATGATGTTGAAAAGTGTTCTCCTATGATGCACAGATATGGACACAAGCTACGTGCAAAACACTTGTATGAGCACAATCACATAGAGAGTTTTAAAACAGTAGGAGTGCTGTATCTGTTTCCATCCCTCCCAGAAGGAATTTGATCCATATGCCAAATTCATATGCAGGATAAATTGTTTTTGTGATTGGGTTATATATATTGAAATCAAAATAGTAGTAAAACATTGTAAGAGTAAAATCAATTATAAAAATCAGTCCAATACATCCAGCTTAAATATATTCTTTGACCAAAAAAATGCCCAGACCCAGCCCAATTAGAAAGCTGAAATCAGATACTATGGTCTTCTTATCCTCTTCATTTGATGCTGCTGCACACTTCCAGTAAATAACTACTCTTTGCTACAGCCATCTCTTGAGCAACAAACCTTCTTTCCTTCAGTCAAACACTTTCCCTCTCTTAATCTTTTCCTTTGCCTTTCTTTTCATCTTGACAGAACTAATAAGACTGGCCATCCACCATCCATTTTACCCATTGGAAATCTGCAACAAGTCACTCAAGGAGGAGCCAAACGATGAAAACACAACCTTGTCCTTTTCCATCTGGTGTCCTCTCAATGTACTACCATACCTGACTTTTCGCCCTTTTTTTCTTTTTTACTTTTTGGTTGTATCCCACCGAGTCCAATACATCCCCCTTATCGAGGGCTTGTACATATATAAAACAAACACAGAGGGTTATCGTGTATCCGAGCTTCATAGGTGCCCTCAAGACACATAGGCCACTTTCAAGCAAGGATGATATGATAACTCAAGGTTATATCACATGCTGGTCCTGTTGAGAATAGACCTAGAAAACCAAGTCCTCTTCGTAATATTTTTGTGCTTAATAGAGATGATCAGTCTCTTCTTATTGTTTTCAAATTTAAAAAGATGATCCAATTTTACAACAAATTTTCAGTCACATTGCTTGATTAATTTACTAAAATAAAAAGCTTCATTTATCATGTTAATTTAGTAGTCAAGTTTTGTAGCCGCCTAATGCAAAATTCTCCTAGCACGCTGAGCAGGTTGTAAGAGTTGACAAACATCGAACCAGCCGTCAATTATCATTGAACCTAATTAGAGTAGAATCAATCAGAATGAGTTCATTTTGTGACCATTTGAGTGTTCTTTAGATCTTCTGATTGTTTATTTTTCTCTTTCTTATCCTTAATTTTCGGACATTAAAAGAATTCAATTGATTCTCTAGCAATAATACTACGTAGCACTTGCAACTCACTTCACCCTTTCATCTTACACCTTTGCAATCCCATCTCTTTCCACTATCAAACGCTCAATCATCTGCTACAAGCTGCCAAAACATTTTCATATCCCTCAGAGCAGTCCTCAAGTACTTGATCTTTCTAACCTTAGGCAACCCACCACCAAGTTCCTCCTTCTGTATCCTTTAAACATTTGAAACCATCCCTAAACTCTTCCACATTGCTGCAGTTCAGAAACTCTTCCAACTAGTATCTTATCTATTCTTCAACTTTTTAAGTCAAGCATTTTCATATAGGACCAGTT